GAAAGGAATAATCAAAGAGAGAGATGCACTGATTTTTACTCAAAAATACCTAATCGAGAAAAATATAGGGTATTAGCTCAACTCAAAAAATTATTTATTATTAAATAATATAAAATTTATTTTTTAATAATTTTAATGATATGATATTTTAATATTTATTTTTTTAATAATAAATTAAAATATACTGTAAAAAGTTAAATAAAATAATAACATACGGTAGCTTGGTAGGATCTGGTAAGTCCAGTACTGGGCTTCAAGTGCCATTGCCGGACTGTAGCCCAACCATTTTGGGCTGCCAATTCGTAATTTTACTCACATCGCGGTTACCCCTGCTTGTGAGTTGTGTGAATACGAGGCCAACATAAGATAAAAGGGGAAGGGGAACTTGGAACCATTTCTCGTTACCAAAATTGACAGCGGCTTCCTCGTCGCTCGCCCTCTCTCTAGAAATCGTATCGTGTTGTTTTCTGACCCTTTGTCTTTGAGACGATGAGGAGGCCTGTAAAGAAAACATCTTCTCCTGAGCAGCCAAAGCTCTGCATAAACGAGAATCCGGAGCAGCCTGAAAGTTCCAGATCCAAAAGAGTTCGAAAATCGGAACAACTTGGAAGTGGAAATAAGATGGTAGATATTCAAGGGAAGACTAAATTTAAGGCTTCTTATCCCCAACGAAATAAAGGAGGCGGGAGGAGACAAGCAGGGATAAAAGCGCGTAACAATGATCGAAAGGTAAACAAATTAGCATACAATCTCTATTTTCATCATCTTAATTATGATTATTTTTATTTCCCTAATTTTTATATTTATATTTCTGTACATTTAGATTCAGCCGGAGGTTTCGAAATTGAGACGTCAATATGGCGATCTACAGAAAGCAAATGAAAATTTGGTAAAGGAGAACGAGGGACTTAATTCTGATGTTACTGCTTTGGAGCAGCTGATAGAGCAGGTGGAGGGACAAAAAAATTTTATGGTAACATCTCTATCTTCATCACTTTTTTTCTTCTATTTATGGATAGTAGCAAAATGT